CCATATATTAAGTCATTTAATAAGTTTGAATAAATATTGATCTTGACTGATACCATAAAATCATATTTATTTTATATTACCTGTAGAAACGCATGACCGTATTGTTGAATATCAATTAAAAGAAATTAAAACTACAAACATCAACAACGATTTGCTAAGCAAAAACAAAACAAGGTATGTTTGTGATGATGTGTTGGTATGTTAAGGATGTTAAATTGTTTGTTAGAAATCATTAGACTATAGTCTAAATAGGATATATATTTGCGTCGTTTTTGAAGTATGGAAATACTTTCAGCAATTCTGCTTATTTTTGCTGTAAACTTGTACTGCTCGTTAAATGGATGGTTTCTGACTGTGAAAATTTGCTAAATTTATTAATGTTGCAATTGTATTTTGTTTCGGTTTGTTCTTATGTGGAACTCGGCGAAATGTTTTTTTTGTTTGCATTTGCTTCTTTAGCGTGTTTGCTTTATTAAATTATGTCGGTAAAAAGTGGTTTTCAGACAGTTTTGCGCCCATTCAATTTCATAGGGTTTGTAGAGTATTTAAACAAAGCAAGTTAAAAGTACTATGTAAATCGGTTTATATTTGCTATAGATAAGCATCGCTTATTACAAGAATTATACTAATTTTAGTAATGTTGCAATTATCTTTCGTTTCCATTTGTTCTCTTTACAAAATTTGCTGCCAAATGTTTTGAGGAGGCTACATACAGTTAGGAAGTGGGGAACTATGGACAATTTTAATGCGCACATCGTGCTCATGTCGAGTGGATTTTTTTACATAAACGTCTGTCTGCGTTGACTTTGTTAAAGACTTTTTCGTTTTTCATGTCGTAATTTTTTTAAAAATTCGTGTGGATCTTTATTACAACAAAAAATATAACATACGCAAAATGCAACAACTCCTTGAGTTCTAATTAAACTATCTGATTTTTACGGAGATAAAACTCTCATTCGGAGTTTCATCTCCTTATCTCTGACTAAATGTTCTCCATCATCTTGTATAGTTTGGCGTCTCATTCTTTCAGGCAGGGGCGGATCTAGGATTTTTTGAACATTAGTCATAAATCGTCGAAGGCGCTCCGCACATGGGGGGTCTGAGGCATCCTCCCCTGAGAAATTTTGAATTTCAGAGCCTTGAAATGCCAATTTCAGCGTTTTAGAGCAATACAAAATGTATTTTGTGGGCATCGTTTTTGCGTAAAAACAACACATTTTGCTTACGTTTTTTTCAAAAAAATAAATTGAAGGAACAATACTTGAATGTTTTGCCAAATATTTAAGCTCATTATAATGCCAAATATATGGCTCATTAGCATGTCTAGGAACGTAAAATGTATTTTACAATAATGCTATTCAAAAACAGATATAGGCTTTAAAAATTTCTACCAAGTTGTCAGGCATAGACCCCCCTAGAGACCCCCATTCAAACCTCTATGTAATGAGTTAAGTTAAAAATTTGGTACTACAAGTGACAGTTCATAGATATATAAAAGCTCAGACCTCAAACCTTGCAAGTTTATTGTAACCCTTTACCCATCTCCACATCAGTGCCAACAAATTCACCATTTGAGAACAAACTCAAAATTTTTTTGTGCGAAAGATTAAGCAAAAATTATCATAGTGAAAATTTGCAGTCAAGGACAGCTTAATGTCATTAATGTTTATTAGGCATTTCACTAGACTATTATCTTCTGTAAGTATATGCAAGATATGCTATATAGCAATCACTAGTAGCATTGTATTTGCAAATACAAACAGAATGTAACCAACATGTCTTTAATTATATATTTACCTGAATGTTAAAATTGGTTCATGTTTCATGCTTACTGGTTATGATAAATATCTTTTCATATGATCAAACCACGTTTAAATGTAAATCTGAAATAATTTAGTTTAGAAATTATAATGATCATCAGAAGAATTACTTAGTGATCATGAAAAATACTTTGCTGTTTTGCCAAATTTTAAGGTTTATCTGCATACATAGAAAGACATTTTTACTTTATAGAAATGCTTTTCGTACATCAATAGCCCTTTGGAATTTATGGCTAACAATCTGGTATGAGCCGTAGATTAACACACCTTTACATCTCTACATAAGGTGTTCAGTTAGAAAAGGGGGCAATATGTGACATGGGACAACATTTCATGTATGTGAAATACTAAGGTTTAATATCATTCCAGTCAAATTGTCAAAATAAAAAGCTTCATGGATCAGAAGACTCAAAATCACAGGTTATAATAAACAGCTTCTCGTGTAATCAATGTTAATTTTCTCAAATCTTAAACAATATGTAGTATTACTGTCCAATGATTGAATGATCAATGATCATAAACTGAAAAGCCCCAAACATTTGTTTATGATAAAGTAAATAATAGTGTGGCGCCATATGGCTACAGATTTTTTGTCCATTGAACTATATTTGCAGGAATGTAGGATTTCGCTGCCATATAACGGCCACGATTCCCCAAACACTAAAGAAATCATAGCTAAAATTCCTTCGGCAACAACAATTTTAGAAGCATCAATCTGCTTACCATACGCCATATTGACATAAATCGCATCACACACTCGCATAAATTGACTTTGATATATTATATTCATGCATACACTTCACTTGTCCTTTACTTACGATTTTGGATGTAAATTTCTGCTGATAAAACTCAAAACAATGTTGGCTTTCTTTTGAACATCAAAGACTGAAATGTCGCTCGCGAGATCGTCTTTGCCAAGCATTTACAATTTATCCATAAATTTTTCACCCTCGTGAAAAAATTCACAGTTTCGACAGCAGCATTCATGTCAATATATGAATTTGTAAAGAGATTTCCATAAATTCCATCTGATTGTAGTTTAGTTTCAATCATGCTTATAAAAATTACTATGAAACGATCAAACATTTAATTCAGACAGTGAGCTTGACTATGTTAGTTCAGTTGGCTATCAGTCGAAATCCGTCAAACCAATCACAATAAAACAAAAAATCAAATGAACCAATTGTAAGATAGTAATTGGACTCCCTTATACGTCCGGCCACCCCTCTTATCACTCGAGACCATTCTAGACTGTCCACTGATCAGGCCATTGACCAATGAAAAAGCGTTTTTGGCGTTCATAGACTCCTTTATCCGTCGAACCAGTCAAGCCACCCCGTCTATCAGTCGGTTATTCCAGGTCAATTAAAATTCAACTGATCTGGTTACCAATGAGATATTCATTGGATTAGTCATTAGTTTTCAATAATAAATAAAGCTGGATTTTTATCACGAAATAAATGCGATAATAAAGTAAGAATAATTAATGTTTTTTAATTAATATGAATAGTAATTTTTGATTTTCAAACATCAGTCGCGCGACGGATTTGACATACCCCAGATCCGCCCCTGCTTTTAGGCCTTAAGACTTGCTCTTCTGTCAATTATCCTTAAACTTCGATTTCTTGTAACTCGTGTCAAATTATTCATTATATTCAAATGGTATTTGTATTTTTCTTATTGTTTTTTGTATTGCGCAAATAGAGTTTTAGTTTAACGTTTACGACAAGCGGCAATCCTAAATTATATATTTGCCATTGAGTTTTGTTGTTTCGAAAAAGTCGAATTTAATACGTAGTTTTGCATTTGTTATTCAAGATTTGCATTGTCAAGAGGTGTATTTCATGTTTTATTAAAACTCTGTTGATAGCTTAATAGGAATATTTATGATTTGTACTAAATTAAAATAATTACTATGCTTCACAAAAGTCATTTTGTTTTAGTAGAGATACTAAAAAGCTTGCGTTACTTTACCTACAACAAAAAGGGCTTCCTGCCCTTAAAACCTAAACTGCTAAACGCAACGTAAACGGCAAAGCCGTCATCACGCCTCGACGAAAATTTGAGTTCCTATGATTTTTAATTTTTTGCAGCCAAAATAGTTCGCTAGCCCATCAGATTTTTTAGTCGTTTTTCCTTTTTGCATGCACGTTTGTCTGCCGTACTCAGTATTTAAAATGATGGACGTTAAGGAGTTTTTTGCTTGGGAATTGATTGAACTTCCCTTTCATCGTACAAAGATACTTTGCAGAGAACCAAGTTTAGAAAACATTTTCATGGACGAAATACGAAACAAACGATTTTCATGGAAGCGTATTATATGCAGTGATTGCTAAGCTCTCTCACGAGCAGATGAAATTCTCCTTTTCATTGCCGTTACAACATAGAGCGATGTATAAAAAGCCATTGTTGTTTTTGCTTTGTCGTTATGGTCGTCTTTGTAGCAATGAGAATCATAACACGTTATTCCGAAGTAGTAATCTAGTTACTGTTTGATTCAGCCATGTTCCATTGTTTTCTTTTCATTTTGTGAGTTAATTTTTACTCGTTGAAAACAAATATACCCAGTCGCATGAACTTTTTTAATTCAAAAATTATCGCTTTTGGCGCAAAAATTTGCAAGTGGAAAACCGGCTTAATTAGTACAAAGAAAGCGTATAAGTATAGAGTAAATGATCTACAACTAAGGTAAGAGAACATTCAAGGTTCGGTTTGTATTATTAGTTTTTTATTTATTATTGTTTTGCGTTATGTGACCTGTTTTCAAAAATTGATTCACGACCTGTTCATTAAATATCCGAGTTAAACAAAATACCGTCCATTTTCCTACCCTTTTCATATAATTAACATAATTGATGTGATTTAAGTCTGGTTTAAAATATTACAGAAAACCATTTACTAAATGAGCTTTATTATTTTGAGAGATGTTAATTGGAGCTTGTTCATTCATTTGTTTCAAATGTAAGTAGAATCATATGGGATGTATAAAGTAAGAGCAAAATGCTAATGCCTTTTTCTCCAGTAATAATATACATAAAAAAATTCTAAATTCTGATTGGCTAAGAGCTTGTCAGTCATTGAAAATTTCACATGTTCATGTTAATGCCAAATAGGCCTTTTTCAGCTAGAGGTCACGTGCTTAGGTAACGCCATACTGGAGAGCACGCTTTCCATAAAACAATGGCGAGTACAAGGCAATTTAATATGTAGAGTAAATTTTTTTTGTTTTTGTGGCGATTTCGGCTAGACAACACGGCTAGACAACATGGCATCGAATCAAGGTATTTGACAAGCAAAATTTTTCATCAATTCTTTTTCTTGACTTTTAACTGAAAAGGAGTAAATTTTCACTCATTCTCGAAGATTCCGCAAGTGTTAAAAATAAACTTCAGTGCTCAGCGACTTTAAAGCCAAAAAAAAGATCAAGTTACCACTGTTGTGTGCCTCTATGTAATGGAGATTCCAGATATCACCAAGACCTGAAGTTCCATCGCATTCCAAGTGCCAATGACGGCAAAGAAACCCTTAAACTTTGGCTGGTCAAAATACGAAGAGACGAAGGGCCTGATTTCAAGGTAGCTTTGTATTATTATAAAAAAAGCACTCGCATATTTCTTCAGTGAATCTTAGATAGTGCATCATTTGTAAATAAATACGCACTAATGCTATGTTTTGTTTTAACTTTATAAGATATCAAGCAGCACAAGGGTTTGCTCGAGACACTTTTTAGAGGACGATTACCTACCTCCTGATAATGCAGGACGGTGTTTATTAAAAAAAGGGTCTGTTCCCAGCCAATTTGACTGGTCTTCAATGACTCCAAAAAGAAGAAAACTAATTCGCACTTGTACTGGGTATGCGGAATTGTCAATAATAAGTTTATATTATCGCCTTCACCTGTACCTTGTTTCTTAATGATTAAAATGTTATTTGCTTTAGAGAGACACAAACTGAAGAAACTGGCAGTGAAGTGTGCACAGTCGATCCTTTGCTAAAAATGCAAGAAGAGTTGGAAGGATTAAGATTGGAGGTAATTCTGAAAACCCAAGAATTAAAAAAAAGTAAGGAAGAAACAGCTTCTGTTATGGAAGAAATGAATGCATTCAAGGCCCAAGCACATAAAGAAATTGAAAATACCAAGAAGGCTGCCGCCGAGGAGTTAGCACTATCCAAATTTGGTTTAGAAAGATTTTCAACTAAGATTCTACACAGGATTTGTTTCTTATGAACACATTAAGGCTTTTTATGAAATCATAAAACCAACTGCTGAGAGAATGACCTATTGTTATGCTACAGGAGATAGAGAAAGTGGTCCAAAAGCACGAACCATGCTAGTTATAGAAGAGGTGTTTATGTTCCTGGTTCGTATTAGATTGGGCTTATTTGAGCAAGACCTTGCTCACAGATTTAAAATACAAATATCCACTGTTAGCCAAAAAATAGTTACATGGAGCAATAACTTATATTTCATGTTGGGATCTCAAGTAATCTGGCCTTCTAGGGAAAATGTCAATAATTACATGCCCCCGTGTTTTCGTAGGCTTTACCCAAGTACTAGAGTTATAATAGATTGCACAGAAATTTTCGTACAAACTCCCAGCTCCTTATTATTACAGTCACAATTATACTCAAGCTATAAAAGCAACACTACCCTTAAAGGTTTGGTTGGGATCTCTCCTCATGGGGCAGTCTCTTTTGTATCTGGGTTATATACTGGAGCAATCTCAGATGAAGAAATAACTAGGTGTTGTGGCATCTTAGATTTAATTGAGGAGGGAGATTCAATAATGGCAGACAAAGGTTTTGATATAGAATATCTGTTATTAGAAAAGAAAGCAATACTTAATATTCCCCCCTTCTTAGAGAGTAATGTTCAGTTTACTCAAAATGGTGTTCAAAAAACCAAAGAAATTGCAAGTGTCCGCATACATGTGGAAAGGGCTATCCGAAGGATAAAAGAGTATCATATTTTTTATTCTGATATACCACTTAATTCATTGGGGTCAATTAATCAAATATACACAGTTGCATGTTTGCTTACCAATTTCCAAGGCCGACTAATTTCTGATCCTAGTAAGAATTAACAATTGTAAATATTGGATTACAGTTGTCTTGTCAAAAGAATTAAATGTAGCTAAAAATATGTAACAGACTATGACTATGAGAATAAAAGAGATTTTCACAAAATTGTAGAAAATTATCACAAGTTTACGACAATCACTTTAAAAATATTGAAAATAAAACCATCAACCTTATTTTTGCCTCTTGAAAAAGTCTTTGTTAAATTTAATCCTATTGCAAACAAAATGTGTGTCACTTATGTAGCTAAAAAAGTCACACCACTCAAGACCTGTCAAAGCTAACTGACACTGTACTTGGTAAAAGTAAATATCAGTGTTCTTCAAAATAAAGTCATTTGTAGCCACATTTTTGAAAGATATCTAACATTAGCAAAGTCATTTTCACCTTCCTTGACAACTTTGATTTCCAACAATCCAAAGGGTTGCAACAACTCTCAGCTGCTTGTAGGTCATATACCAATCGGTCTGGACTGCAGCCCAACCAAGGACATCTGGGATGAATAATTAATCCAGAAGGAAATAGATTCACAGACCCATTCTTAGCAACATTAGCATAGGCCATTGCAGCTGTAGATTCTAAATCAATGCCTCTTTTCATAGCTGCAGTTATGACATGACGAGATGGATTGAGCTGTTTTACAAGATTTTCAAAATCCCTCGACCGTCTTGCAACAATCCCAAACTTACTTGCTGTGATTCTTTTACTTCTTAACATATGCCACAAACTGTTTGCACTTTGAGTGATTGTTTTCTCTGGGATGTCAAGTGACTCTTCTTGAGTAATCATTATAGCATCTAAAGAAGCTTGTTGTTGCTTTGTGAGACAACTGGAACAATTATTCTTAAATCTCATTTCCGCTGAAGATAATGGTAGTGTTGGAAAGTTGGTTCAACTGAAATCATTGATAACATAGTCTTGAGAGAGCTTTTGCTGGTAAGAAAGAACACATCCTTTAGGAACTTCTCCAAATTTACTTTGCACATGTGGGATACTTGCAAGGTTCTTTTCACTTGGAAGTATACTTGCTATTAATGGTTTGCTTTCAAAATCATCAAAATTTTCTTTTGTCACTGGTAAATAAACATTTGAAGGTGAATATAGTGTGCTTTTAATAAATTTGGTGAAATTAGCCTCTGCTCTTAATTTTTTGACAAGCACATCTTGAATCTTCTTCTGTTCTATCTTTTTTCCTCTGGGTACACTCCATCTTTGAGGCATACTAGTGCATGTCAATGAATCGGGCAATGAGCGAAGACCTAGCTGTTTGCAATGGGCTAGAAAGAACAGCAATCCAACGACATGATGGCAGTATCCCCCAACACCAGCTACACATGAACACCTTGCAGAAATTGAACTGTTAACAATGTTGATCTTGGTTTCAAGTACATGTGGAGGCTCATTTTTCTTCATTGATCGATAGCATCGAGCATTTATGACAGCTAAATCATCCTTGGTTGTAACTGACAAAAGAATATTAAAATTTTTATGAGATCAAATTAATCACACTCTGAAAGTAAGCTTAGTAACTAAAGAAAACGCGAACAATGATTGGCAATTTACCTTTCATTTCATGTAAATATCCAGGTTCAGCAAAAAACTTGTAGGCCTTTGCGGTACTCTGACATCCTGACAACTCTTTTGCATACTTCTCGACAAATGCAAAAGTCAAGTTAGGAAGAGAACTTATGTCTTTACTTTCGGTACACGAATCATCTGGAGAAGCATGCATAAAAACATGAAAATACATTAGATTAATCATTAATACCTTCCCGAAAGCCAAATCTCCTACTTGTGACTCATTTTTCGATTAAAAAAGTCAAGAAAAAGAATTGATGAAAAATTTTGCTTGTCACATACCTTGATTCGACGCCATGTTAGTGTTGTCTAGCCGAAATCGCCACAAAAACAAAGAAAATTTACTCTACATAGTAAATTGCCTTGTACTCGCCATTGTTTAATGGAAAGCGTGCTCTCCAGTATGGCGTTACATAAGCACGTGACCTCTGGCTGCAAAAGGCCTATTGCACTCAGAACCATGCTATTGCATAAACAAATAGCAAATTGTTTCATATTTAATCCAATACCAGTAGCCTGATGAACAGTTACGTAAGATTGATTATGGTGCCAATGCAAACACGTAGCCATCTTTGTAAAAGAATTTATTATTGTAGAGCACACGTACATGATTATATTTTCCCCTACAGTGCTCTAGCTGGTTATACGCAACAGCAAAAGAACATAATTGTACACTTTATTTAATTACAAAACAACACTTATTGCTTTGACTATCAGATGTGTCTACTAAAATTCCTTTATATCATAATGCAAGTAAGTCGTTTAAACATGAAATGGATTATTGCATGAGGTATTAACAATCCTGGAGTTTTGCATGCGACTTTGTACCTAGAGCTGTAGGTAAGCAAAGCAGTAGCGTAGCCAGCCCAACTTTTTACTTCCTCTACGCAAATTTTTTAGTGCTCACTGACTGTGAGAACAGTAGAATTCTAATGAAATAAATAATGGTAATCTTTCAGAATTTTCATAGCGGGAGTAAATCTGCAAGCTAGCTACGATACTGAACTCCAATGTTAGCGTCTTGTTTTGAATTCAAAGTAATGTGACGATATAATACATTTTTTAAGCATACAAATGGCAAATTTTCTTGAATACATACCATGGAGAAGTTATAACTGGTTTGGAAGAATAATATTGATTGTCTTTGGTATAGTTTTCATCCCTGTTACTACTGTTTCATCAGTTTTACTTTTTAATAGCTCATTTAATTGTCATAATGAGATTATATCAAAGACGAGAGAAAGTTCTCTTTTAAAGAGCATTGAATCAACATGTTTCAGACAATACAAAGATGGTTTAACTTTTAAGGATGCTGCTTTTCTTATGGTAGTTTTAAATTTTGCCATTGTCTTAATTTGGAGTATTGTCTATGGATATTATTTAAAGCATCGAATTGAACATAATGATAATGACAGTCCAATAGAAAACAGGAACGAACAAAGTCAACCTCTACATGTGGATTATAGTGAAGGAACTCCTCAATCCGACAACGTTGCATTTAATTTATCTTCATTTTCCATATACATCGTTTATTTAGTGGTTCGCCTCATCATATTGTCTGTCTTCGTTGTATTACTTTTCCATGCTAAGTTTCCCATCTACTACACCTGTAAAAGACGTCCAACTTTGAAAGAAATTTCCTCATTAAATAACACCATTTCTACCATTGATTGTGAAAATCTCAACGCTGATAAAAAGGAAACCTTAATTAAAGTTGTTTTATCTGTCGATTTTATTGTAATAACACTAACAATTTTGGAGCTGTGTTACTTGACGTATAAGGCTTGGACTGATAACTCTTTTAAAAAAGCGAATAAATTTTGTACAGTTTACTTGAATTTTGTACTGCTTCAAAAACCTAAAGAATGGTTGGAGGAAAATATAAACGATCTTTACACGAACAAATTTTTTGAAATACAAGACAACTTTGGTGATGAGAATAAAGAAAGGCAAAATCTTGACAATATTTATGTCAACGTCATACTACAAGCAGAGAGACAATTAAAGAATGCTTTCCCAGAAACGTTTAATCGGCACGAAATCTTTCATTCTTACCTAAAAGTGGGAAATGATGTAAAAAAACTAACAAGAGTAAATGAGATTTTTACGCCAATCCCAGGTGAGCAGAGCACGTCGTGTCCAAACTCTATTTTAGTCATTGGAAGGCCGGGAATTGGTAAAACTATGCTCACTAAAAAACTTATATACGAATGGAAAAATAATCGAGATGGATATTGGCAAGATAAACTTGTTATTTTAGTGAGATGTCGTGATCTTGAAACTTGCGACACTACTCTCGAAGATATGTTAAAGCGGCGTGATGGACTAAAAGATAAACATTTTTCTCAAGTTTACAAATTCATAATCACTTATCCAAAACAAACTGTCATTATCATCGACGGACTCGATGAATTATTTCTAAATCGTTTAGAGCTCCATGAAACAAAGAACCCTGTATTTAAACTAATAAAAAAATTAGTTGAAGGTGAAACGCTGTCTGATGCCATTGTTCTAGTAACATCACGACCCACAGCTGAACATGCATATGGATGTTTAAAGTTTGACCGGACTGTGGAAATCTTGGGCTTTTTTGAAGATCAGATTAAAGAATACGTCGACAAGTTTTGTGGTAAAGACACGAATACAGCCAAAAGCATTTATGAGCACATTGATACTTCTCTTGAACTTAAAAGTTTGTGTTATATTCCTGTGAATAGTTACATTGTTTGTCTAACCCTAAAAGAGAGCTTGATATGTAAGGCTGAAGATATTCCAAAGACCATCACTAAGTTATATAATAGAGCAATCAAAGTCTTGCTGTGGATGCATCATCCACTTTGCAAATCAGGTAAAATACCAAGAGAAGATGATTATCTTATAATTCCTTTGCCCCGAGCTTAAAACGATATTGACAAAATAAAAGATATTGCAGTTAGTGGAATTACCAAAGGAAATTTGATTTTGAAAAAGTAGTAATAGTGCTTTTCATGAGGTAGCAAATTGTGGTATATTTCACCGTATACAGGATGCAAAACGCTTACAGTACTGTTTCCTACACTTGACTATTCAAGAGTTTCTGGCTGCGCAATGTATTGTAGACGAATGGAGCAAAATTCCACAGTTTTTGGATTATAATAAACGTGATCCTAAATGGCAATTGGTGATACAGTTTGTCGCTGGTCTAATTGGAGACATGAAGAGATCTGGTAGCATAATAGATACTAAAACATTAAAAGAAGTTGAAGAACGGTAAGGTCTTTACTTTCGTTTCTAGTGAAGTTTGAATTATTGTCTTCGATGAGTTTTGTTTACACAGTTTTTAGTCCTGCTTAACAGGAAGCGCAGGAACACTAACTACGTTTACTACATATGCACAGAGTTGTTCCTGAATTGTTTTAAGAAATCGCAGCAGTTTCATATTAAGCTGGCATATATTTATACAAGGTATAACTTCATGCTCTTAAGCAGAGTGTTGTTTCAGTTTTGAAAATGTCGCTGAGTTGCCTAAGCGTCTGTCTGTTTCGAAACAAAGTTTCTGCCTTTTTTTACTAAATTTGCACTTTGAATCTAATGCTGTTATCATTGACGCCGCAATGTAAAGAAGGTATAAGGGCTAAGGCAGTTTACTTAATTTATAGCGTAGGGTGCATTAATTTAGAACTATTGGTTTAGTGCTCTTTACTTAAAACAGTTCTTTTAAGAACTATCAACTAATTATATTAATCTAACCATTCACTATGGTATTTGCTGTTTTTAGAACCATTCATAAATCAGTTTAAATTTAAATTGTGTGTATATTGTAAAGTAGAATGTACAGAATACAGAATACATGAAACCAGTCTGTACATTTCATTTAAAAATTAAATAACTTCATTGTTAAAAATACAAGCACTGTTGGTCTTTGAATGAAATAATACACAGTACAAGTCACTCGCAACACAATCTTCACTTTAGAATCAAGCAATCACTTGGCTAGCAACTAGAAAAAAAATCAAAAATCAACTATAATGAACTTTTGTCATAACTTTTACAGAGCACAAATTGCTTTGAAGCAAAGTTATAATAATTACTATATACAAAAAAATTGTATACCTCAAAAAATAATATTTGATATCGAAAATGCCTGACATATTGAGCTATTCACTCATGCTTAAGTGATAAAACAAACTCTCTCTTGCTTTGAATTGATTGTTGCTAAAAACTAAAGGTCTATTAGACTATCATTAGTTATCATTCATAAACAAGCATAATGAATGATTATTTTATTGCTTGGTTAATATTACTTTACATAGTAAGTTTGGCAGTACCATTTTGCAATATGAAATATTGCAGCGTTCGTACCAGTAAGTTTCTCTGTCATTTTTGTAATTATCCTTCATAAATACACCTTAAACTATGCGACAATTATAATTTAGAATGGACGAAAATGCAAGAGATTCTATTTCATACTTTCATAAATATAACCTTATTTACAACTCAATGAGCTATATTAAAACGGTTCATTTTTACCAATAAAAACCTTTACTTACTTGTTGGCAATGAAATAATGATCTCTTATCTTGTTTCTATCATGTTTTATCACAATATTTTATGATCTTCCAAAATTTTTTACGTATGAGGCGACTAATATCCCGAAACTGCACTTTTCCAGTATAGGTTCATAAAACGCCAACGCCAAGTTACTAGCCAGAGTAATGGCGGACTTAACGCATTCACACAAAAAAGTGCCAAGCGTTTCACCCGCGAGTTTCCCTTTTACGTTTTCTTTATTCTACGACGAGAGCGTCGACATCCACCTCAATAAAAATGAGGATGTTTTCAAAGCAACATGTTTGGACAATATAAAAATGTTATCAACATTGCAGAATGACTAGTATTAAGTAATATGATAAATTATAGAATGTTATAAAAAAATTGATTATTTAGAATGAATGGGAACATTAAATAACTACATTCATCAAATTACTTACATTAAATATAATAAAAAGATTGTGTTATAGCTGGTGGGGAATTTTAGCATTTAAATCAAGATTTGTTTCATTGATTGAAAGACCTTCTTTCATTTGAAGAGGAAAACTTAAGTGATAGGTTTGGATGAGTTAAAATGAAGATACTGAAATTTACTCTTAATAGAAGGAGAAACATGTAACATGCGACATATTGAACAAAACTTGTTTTTTAAACTTTGCTAGCTACTTTAATCGTTAATTTGCTTTCGAAAAGATTCACGTTGGACGGACCCAGTGTAGCTCTACACGACCACGAAGCAAACTTAAAAATTGTTTGCTTCGCATTTTAAGGCCAATTTCAAGTATCCAATTGAAAATGAAGATATAAGACTATATGGAATAAGACTTCCTAATTCAATGGCATTATTTATACCCTTCATTAATTAGTTAATTTTAAACTTAGCAACATGATTAATGCTGCAATCTAGCTCATAGCTCATAGTTGTGTTTTTTCAGTTCACACTCAATTGAAAGCAAGAGGGTTTCTTTACAACTCTTCCACTTCTCGCTCTCTCTTGATTTTCAATGATAACATGCTCTGTCTTCTCAAAGATATTTATAGGAACAGATAATGGTTGAACGGAAACAGCAGGGTCTTTTCTTGACTGCTGGACATTTTTATCCTTTTTAATATCTGTTGACCGGAAATGGACCGGGAATGTTAATAATGGTTGACCGGAAATAAAAAGGTCTTTACTTGACTGCTGGACACTTTAATCCTTTTTTCTGTCACTGGTGATTAGAAATCAGACATCGTTGTATTTTACTCTTGTTGTTCTTTAGAATGTTTTACGTGTTGTCGATTTTGTCTGTACACTTTTCCGTTCGAACTTGAATTGAACGATTGTCAACTTTCCCTTCAACTTTCGCCTGTACCCATGGCTTACGCTTCTGCGATAACTAAGATTTCTCTGGTTTTCCTACTTTAGAAGACTTTTGAACGTTTAAATTAGCGTTCTAGTTGGCTGACAAAACAACCTTAGGTGAATACTCAATCCCTTCACTAAAAGTATTACTCCACTTCAACAGGGATGAATAAGGATCTCTTCCACTCTTCTACGCTTTTTTCGATAAATGTTTTGCTGTCCGCACAGCATTTTCAGCTTTTCCGTTAACCTTGGACATCCGGGTTAGCTAGTAATTTGTTCAAACTCTAATTCTCTTGGTGTCCCGTTGTCGGTCGCAATCTGTTCTGGAATTCCGTGTCTTGAAAAATGTAATTTAGGTTTATTAATGACTTTGTTGCTAGTTTTATTGCTTACCTGATCCAACTCAAAGAAATTTGAGAAAAAATCAGTTATTACTAAAAAATGACCTCTTTCATGCTCAAAAGGTAACAACAAACCATTTTCCACGGTCGTTGAGGATTTGTGTAGCCGATTAACGGTTATTTCTGTTGCTCACGTATATTCTCGTTGCACGTTGGACATCTTGAAATACAGTCTGTGATCTCCTTCGTCATACCAGGCCAATACACACTATTTCGGGTATGTCTTAGACATCCCTGCACACCGATATGACTTGCATGAATTCTTGCATTATATATGATCTTGCCCCAAATTAAATGACCAATCTTTCACCTTTAAATATCAGACCAGTTTGAATTGAAAATTAAAGTATTCTGCTATACTTGGTGGTACTTGATCTCTTACCTCTGGCTATCCTAGTCTGACAATCTTTTTTAGCTTCTCTAAATCATTATCTGCTACTATAACTTGTTTAATCATTGCCAATGATTCTTCAGAGATTACAAGATTATTAACCATATCAATGGACTCCATATCTTGTTTGATACTGTTTCCAAATGACAACACTTCGTGATCAAAACACTGCATTTAACGATCTCCCTCTACATACACACGACTCAAGTTATCAGCTAAATACATCTGTGATCCCTTCTTGTACGTAAATTCTACTTGATCTTTCCGTAAACTAAGCATCATTCGCTTTGATCTCTTCGGTGCATTTCGGAGAATCTTCTTTATAATACTCTCAATTGGCTTGCGATCAGTTTCAACCATTACTCGTGTCCCATACATATATTGTTCAAACTTTTCTGTTCCAAATACAATCGCCACCATTTCCTTCTCAATCTGACAGTACTGTTGCTCAATTACGCTTAATGACCTCGATGCATATGCAATAGGTTGCGCATCTTGCATTAGACAAGCTCCCAAAACCTTCTCAGACGCATCAACCCTGTAACTCAAGATCGTGATCAAGATCATAATACTTCAAAGTAGGAGTTGTTGACAAAATTTCCTAGGTTACATTGAAAGACCTCTATTCAACGTCTTATCTCCAGTGAATTTTGTTCTGCTCTTTAAGGAGCTCTTTTAAAGGTGCTATGACTGAGGATAAGTTATGTGCGAAGCTTTGAAGATAGCTGATCATCCTTATGAGGAGTCGTACCTTTTGTCTATCAGTTGGTATAGGCATCCTCAGGATTGCTTCAACCTTTTCAGTATCATGATTGAATCCTTCCATCTGAGGTAATTAAATGACCTATAAAACTTACTCAATGAAACAACAATTTCTTTGCGCTTAGCTTTATTCAAGTACTTCTGCATCTTTCCAATAGACGAACTTTCTTATTATCATGATCTTTCAATTATTCCTCATAGGATTCGCCTACTCCCCAAACCAGTATATCGTCACAAATGGCTCTAATTCCATCCAATCCTGCCAGAACTTCGTCCAGATAGCGTTGAAATTCTTCGGGAGCTGGAGAATTGGTAAAGTCACTCGTTTCCATTTGTAAGGGCTCCATGGTGTTGCAAATGTGGTTAGGTAGGTACTTTCATTATCCAATTGTATGTGCCAAAACCCATTCTTTGCATCCACAACCGAGAATACCTTAATTAGCCTTTGCTAATTTAGGTAGAAGATCCTCTATATCTGGATGACAGTAGTGATTACGTTTCAATGCTTTGTTTAATGGTTAATGCATAAACGAATATTTCCATCTTTCTTTTGCACAGCTACCATACATGAAATCTAGCGTGTCGGGACCTCTACTCTTGCCACAATTGCAAAATTGTTATTCAAAATTGCAAATTCTCACATGCTATTTCAAAACTCATACATCTATAAAAATTTTGTTAATATTTTTTCAATGCTGAACTTTTATGCGCAAAAAAGGTCTAAAATAAAAGGTTAAAACTAGACATAAAGAAAAATAGCGAATCATAATCCTTAAACAGATGCAACCTGAGGGATACTGAATGTAAACTGTATAAC